TCTTTAAAAGTCATGAAAATGCAGATTACTATTCATATTTACAATGCCTATATGGATCTAATTGGATATCTTGGAAATTATTATAAGTTTAATTTTTAGAATATTTTCTATTTTTTCCAAAAAATTAAAAATATTCTAAAAATTAAACTTAATATAATTTCCAAGATATCCAATTAGATCCATATAGGTATTGCAAATTTCAAAAGGAATATGGATTTTCAGGACTTTTGAAGTAGTTTCAATACGATTACAAACGATTTTTTCTTTAAATCCAAGATGCGGTAATTGCTTGCCTTGAAGAATTACTACTACGAGCCAAAATTGGGAAAGATTCATAGTAAACTGTCAAAGATATGAATAAATAACTGATGCACTTCCTCAAAAGAGCCATGCCTTAATGGTGCTGAGTATACTGAGTAAGAACTTTCAATTAACTTTTCTATTTGATCCTTAAAGTCAACTAAACGAGTTAAATTAATCCTTAATCTATACGATCCTTTTAGCTAAACTGACAAACTACATGATAGAATCATTTGCTGAACTATCACGATCCTAGAGACTAAAAAAGTTAAATAAGACAAGCTACGTAGTTACAACATGATAAGAAGAGAGTGTCTCTCATATATTGGCATATTCAGAATCGATCGTATACGTTTAAGTTAAAAACAGCATTTCAAAGTTCCTTTCAGTGTTCTTGTTTGATGGCATTTGGCACATACAGATTTCCACGCTCGCGGGTCTTCAGTATCGTAGAGTGACAGGAGAGCAGACTTGTTGTAGTGAGAGAAGAGACAGGTTTTGAATTTAGACAGAGTGAGTGTTCTTTTTTCCTAGTTCAGTAGGTAGGATGTTCCAGATTCTTGCGTGGTATTTTACCATTTGAATGGATAGTTTATGTTAGAAATGCAGTACATCTATGGATGATGGAGCTAGAAGGCTAGTATTACGAATACAGTACATCTATGGATGATGGAGCTAGGAGGCTAGTATTACGAATACATTACATCTATGAATGATGGACGTGGGAGACTAGTATTACGAATACAGTACATCTATGGATGATGGAGCTAGGAGGCTAGTCTTTGCCCTCCACGGAATGCTGACAATGACTGCACGTGAGCCGCAATACTTGACAGCAGACAGCAATGACAGCAGGCTGGAAATGAGATTCTTGARTTYWTTCAGCTTCTYGATACRAAACAACTGCTGATGATGCATGATTGCCAGTGATTAAGTGTTGTAACAAGGTTTTTTACCAATGCCAATGTATCTAGCAATACAGTATTGACTCGTATGTGTAACTTCAAAACAACGCTGTCTTATTAATGGCTCCAATGGTATAGCAATCAGTGCAGCTACGACACATGCAGATCCTTTAATGGTAACTGCCATCATCCTCGTAAACTCAATATGCTTCTCTTTTTCAGACACTGGAGAAAGAGAGATTAGATACCCAACACCAGCAATTATACCACTTATAAAGCAAAGAAGTAGGATGACCCAGACATTTGGCATGTTACGGCACCACACGGCTACAAACATCACAGTAATGTTACAAAGATTAAAGACAATATGAGTGGAGGATACTGTGTTTGTACCAAGTAACTTCGTGATTTTCCCACAACAATCAAAAAGGTTGCCGAAAGCCCGTCCAGCGAAAGAACCACCCCATAGAGCCATCAAGTAATACTGATAGTGCTCTCTCGGTTTGAATGGAGAGTTAGAGAAAACAATTGTGGTGATAAAAGATTGGGCATACAGAGTCTGGAAGGCAAAACCCAAGTACGCCGCATAGAATCGAGAAAATGATTTATAAAACAAGCAAAGATTGACAAATAATGAAGAGGATTTGATGTCTTGAACTTTTGAATCATTATTATCGATTTTTTCTTCATCTGACAATGATTTTTTGTCCAAACTTTCATCGTCGCACAGTGGCTGTTTTTCCTGGCTCATTTGATATTGCACAGATTTGCTTACATCAAAGAGGCTGCTTGTTAAGAGATAATCTTGCAATGGGAGTATGATGGAGGATAATGATATTACAGTAAACACAAGGCTAGGTTTGATGCACAAATATGATGTGAGA